GATGTTGTGGTTGAAGCTGTCTGTTGTGCCACTGCCGACTCATTAACTAAGACCGATATTTGCAGGTAGAAGGTACAGAAAAAGGGACTGCGCCGTTAAATTCCATTGCACCAGGAGGAGTCATTCCACTCGACTTCCGGTGCGTGAATCCCATAACAGTCTGGAGCAGCGCCTGCTTGCGTGTGCTGACAGAAAATAAATAAAAATTGCTGACATAAAGAGTAAGCAAGAACATTATTTAGATTTAATGAATTTCAATCCTGTGGTACCTTTTTAATTCTAAGGTTTGTTCCGTTAGGTTTTGCGAAGTAGGATGAGCTTTTTTTCCATCAGCAAAGTCCTACAAAAGCACAGGTTTGTGGATATAGTTCCTTGTGCTTCCCGAATTGGGCTGCTTGAAAATTCCTGAGCACGCCTCTGTAGTTATAAACTCTTATTACAAAGGAAAATAAGCTTTGGCTTTGTTTTTTTTATGTTGTCCTGGACAATGAACTGGCTTTCCTTTGTTAGGTTACACAGTATATGTCCAATGGAAAAAGTGAATTCTTGTTTCCCTGTAGATCGCCAGGATCCTCCATTCTGAATTCTTTATTTTATTTAGCTTTAGGGCAGCGAAAGCCTCGGCAGCTCCGCAGAGAGGAGATTCTCTTCAAGGCTGCTGCTTCAAAGGATTTTCCAGAGCTGGGAAAGGGACAGTAACCAGCAAATGCTGACAGATCTTCCTGCTTCTGGCCCTGAAATTGGGTGTGCGGTTGTGGTTTTGTACACCTACACATTGGCCTGAAACCATCGAGTAGCATCCAGCGAGGCTCCTAACGAAATCTCCCCGTGTTAATGAGTACATTTGGAAAAAGGGGAGAATCTGCTACGAAAGGGAAGAAAAAAATATATTGTTTGGTCAAAAGGAACGAGCCCTTGGGCCTTATGTTCAAAGGAATGAAAGTTAACAAGGTGGAAGCTTAAACTGGTTTTGGCTTTAACCGTTTCGAGTACCAGCAGTGTTTGAGGAGTGGGATTGGGGTGGAGTGATGCCCTCAGTGTAATGTTTAGGGATACTGATGCCCACAACTTCGCCTTGGACTTGTGAGTACTTGAAATGTTCTTCACAGAAATCCAACCACCTGTGTCTAGAAACCTGGGAAACCAACAAAAACAAGGATTTTTAAATTTGAGTTATATATTACAGTGGAGTAGTGGATGACTGCAATGGTCAGCTCGTCTCAGCTGAGGGGTGGTGTCTTTTCAAGAAAAAACCACTAACTTTGATTGCATCCAGTGATTCAATTTATTTTTTGTTTCTCAGAGTATACAAGGGCTAACAGTGCAAAGGAATATACTGGCCAATAGGACTTCACACCAAAATACATCAGTTCTTTGCCGAACATCTCGTAGCAGAGATATGAACACAGGTTTAACACTTTGTAAACTTTTATAGTCTAATTTGAACTTTTACTCAGACGTTTTATTGCATGCTGCAGTAGTGGGACTTGGACTCTGCATCACTTGGTAAACAAGAAACTATTAAGTTAATTTTAGTGGAAATCCCCTGTCAAGATTAAGAGCTCTGATAAATGAGATTGGGCATTTTGTGATTGAATGGGGCGAGGGGTTCTTGCCTCTAATAAATAGTCTGGCCACTCTTCTACAGGAGGTTAGTGCCCTTTCTATGTTGAAAGGCATGCAAATAGAAACAAACCTCGTCAAAAGCGGAGGAGTCCACTGGCATCTACTTTAAGTCTTGAGAATCATTGGTTTGTGATGTCCATCCAGAAATACGATGGAGGAATCGTTAGCGCAAAGGCTCCCATGGGGCATCAGGAGTTGTGCTTTCTCCTGAGACATTAAATGTGGATATTGCTGCTTCCCAGAAAGAGGAAAAATGTCTGAAAATGGCTCTTTTTTTCCCCTCTCCCCCCCTCCTTTTCTCTGGTTGCCATACTGAGTAACTGGCTCCTAGTCTGATAGTGTTTTAGGTGACTGGAATAACAGTCTGTCTCTTTCCGCAGTGGCTGCAGACAATCTGGCAGCAATCACTGTTACTTTTTAATATTTCTGGTTATTTTGAGATCTCCTCCAAATGTCTCAAAGAAGGCTTGGAACGCTGAAGGGGGAAGAAGCATTTTTTAAAAAAAAATTTCTTTAATTTTTTTTTTTTTTTTAGGAATAGCAGCATCAGGAGGAAAATGAAATTCAGCTTGCCACTATTTGTTTTTGCAGTGGTCATCACCCTGATTGCCAGCTCTGACAATATTTTCACAGAAAGGGTAATGAAATAGATGGTATTTGTTCTTTGTAATAACTCTTTCAGTAGAATGGTAGGACCTGCGTCTACATGAATGTACTCACATTTTCACGTTCCCCTTTTTTTTCATTTAAAGCTTCCCCTCCCAACTTTCTGAAACTACTTCGTACAGACTTGGTAAGTTAAAATTAGGGTTCGTGTAGTGAATAATGTCACATTTCAGAGCTAATCTGTAGTGACCTTATAAAAGCTAGAGCTGATTTTTTTGGTGTGTTTAAGTGTTTGTTTAGTTTAAATTCGTCTGTATCTTTTTTGATCAGCCTGAGCAATTTGCATGCTGTGCAGCAGTCATCTTCTATACTTTATTAAATATCTGTCAATTATAAATATCAAGGTTTTACATTAATGTCAAGATAGTGCATCAAAAATTCATGGAATATGTGACTTTTTTCAAGGGTATTTAATACTTAATGCATTTGTGTCATTTTTCTTTCTAGATATATTGACAGGTTTTATTAAGTGTTTGTTAGGGAGGTTTCATTTTTACCAAGGGACTATAAAGAGAAGCTGCATACTAAATCAATTCTTTAGTCAGAATATTGTTCTTTTTTGTGTATCTTCAGATTCTTGCAATCTATAGGGTTTTTAAGTTACCTAGCAAAATAGTCCGAGTCAGAAATTCAGTGTATCGAATATACTGATGTATCTTAACTTTAAAATAGCTGATAGGATATCGTCCCACGGCACGTTATAAATACGGTAATTATGTTCGCCGGGGTTTATTCTGCCTTGTGTCTTTTGACACCAGAGATTTTGTCCTTTATTGTAATTTAGTGGCGGTTTTCGGTGAATTACGGCTGCGCGGTGTCCATGCAGGGAGCGCGGCGCACCGCCAGGGGGCAGTGTCGGCCCGTGCTTTGCGCGTTCTTTGCGCGGGGCGGGGGGGGGGCGCTGAGCCGCGCTGGTTTTCGCGCAAATCAGGCGCATGGTCCGCAAAGCAACGGGACGGTGACGATGAGGATTTAGAAAGGATCCCAGCTTCGCTGTTTGTGTGAAATTTCTTTAAAAACTTCAGGTGCGGAGCGAGATTCCGACTTTTTGCAGCCAGCAGCGACGTAACAGATGGAAATGTTGTGATATTTTAAAAATAAAACTGATGGGCTTTTACGTCATTGTTGGTGTTGACTTGCCCTGCTTAGTTTATCAAAATTAATAGTACTTTTATTAAGTTAAAATTAACTTGTCATAAAGGGTGATGTTTGTTTTTAGGAGTTCTTATTCCCCACTGAAAGCTGAGTTTCTGACTTAATTTCTGGAACTGAGTCTGGACTCTCCTCCTGCAGCAAGGATACCTCCTGAAATGTATTGGTTTGGGTTTCCGTTCTGCTTTTTGTGAGAAGAAATAACTCTGTAAAATGCGGTGCTCCGGTTAAACTGGAGGGAATTTGTTACGCGATGACCACATCGTCGACGTGAATGAAAATCGTGGAAATGTACAGTGCTTTAGAAATTAAAAAATAGCGAGGGAAGGGACAGGAGTGGAATTGTGTGAACTTGTGTCACGTTTTAGCCAAAGTCCATCCAAAGGGTTAACTGAGGGGCTGAGGGAGGCAGGCACCTGGGACCTAACACCCAATTGGCAGTCTTTTGTAATATATAATTTGCCTAAAATTGCGCACTGAGCACAAGCTTTTGTTTTCTAATTGATTTACGGTTTGAGCCACTTTTACCTCATCCCCTACTGTCCTGAGCGCAGTGCCAGCAAGTACATTACAGTGAGAAATGATGAATTACCGGCCACTTGTGATGCTAATGCATCACCAGTAAAAACCTGCGTGTTACATGGAGCTTCATGCATTAAGAGTGTCGCCAAGATCGAGCGATGTGAAACAAAAATCATTTGTATCTCCTGAAATAACTGCTTGATCATTTACTTCAATTCGTCTCCTAGACCTAATTGAACCTGAAGATTAAAAAGTATGCTATTATGGCTTTCCATTTGTGGATCGGGATGGAGTTCTTAAAGAGTGTGAGTGTGGGCTTAACGCTACCTGTATTTGTGAGACTTTTAATAAGTTAATTGAGCGGAAAAGTAACAGGTATTACAGCTTCTTAAAGCCTTTTTAAATCTGAATATTGAGCTTGTAAATGACAACCACAGCATACGTTCACAAATGGCATTGCTCCACTTTTAGATGGGAGTGTGTGTAGATGGCTTCATGTAGGTACTACCTAATCGAGGTTTGTCACCAAAACTATTGAAATACGCCAGTCTGTTCTGTGTTGGCTGCATAAAACCTTTACAGGTATTGAGGAAGAGCTGAAAACCTTGAATGTCTCATTTTTACTTGTATTGGTGAAAGAACTTGGAGTTTTCCCAGAGAAAAGGAAAATGCGGAAGTTGTTGAAACCTAATACGTGCTTATTGTCCGATTTCTTTCCCCCGCCACGGGCTGGGTTTTGTTTTACCTTCGCGTCCTCGGTCCACCTTAAATTTTGTATTTTTCTACGATGTCTGTGGGTTCCAGTCTTGAAATATGAAGAAACAGATTTATGGCGGCTGCTGGGCACAACAAATTAAGTTGACAGTGATGTATGAGAGCATAATAGCATGATGATCCCTCTGTAGCGCGGCTGGACGCCTCCTGCTTCATTTGGCTCTTGTTAGGATCTGTTAGGCAGCTAAATAATGAGATTCTGCTGACTGATTTCTCTTTTCTTTATCTTTTCACCTTTTTCTGCAACTTGCATTTCCCAGACCCATCCTAATGCCAGCAAACTGCCCTTAAAGGATTCTTTCACTTATGACGACTACAGGTTGGTCTGTCTTTTAATGCCTTTTAACATTTTTTTTTAATTATTTTTTTAAATATAGTGAACTGTGGGGCCCTGGAAAGGCCTCATTGGTGAGAGAGCCCTATTATTGAAATGTTAAGTGTAAGATTTGATACCGATACACTTAATGCAGAAGAAGGTAAAATCAAGGTACAGATTTTAATTGTTACAAAGGAATAGTCATTAGGAGCAGTGAATTTAGCCAGCTGGCACAGATAGTCTGAGATTAGTAAGGTGATTCGTTGTTTCTTAAGAAAATAATTCACTTGATGTTGCATTTTGGATTTGGGGATTATTTTTTTTTAATTTCTTTAATTTTCTACCAGCACACAGTAGTAAAACCTAATATTGACAGTGGCTGTTGAGCAGGAGAGCTGGAGAACTCGAGCTGTACACGTGAAGCACGAGTGTCACTTGGAGGTGCTATAGGGGGTGTCATAATTAAGATAAAAATAAGAATAATTAAGATAACAAGAGCTTTAATTCTGTTAAGTGATTAAAATAGCATGAATAAAAGGCATTCATTAGGTCTTTCAGGGAATTTTTGAGCCTAATTGTCCTTCTGGGTAAGTTTATGACAGCAGAATTTCCAAAGCATGCCCCCTTCACTTGTAGGGTCACTGAGGGGCACACAAATGTACCTGTGAAGCGGTCTAAAATTTTGCAGATAAATTACAGTTTAAAGGAAACATATTCCTGTTACGTTTCAGTGTTGGTATATCAAAATTCCCCACAATTTTAACTTGCTTTTAGATGAAGTGGATTTCAATCTGACTGTATCTTTCTAAGCAATCTGTAGTCCTCCTGAAAAAAAATCCTTCTGAAAGTCTAATTCTGTATATTAAATTATTAGAATTGTAAAATTTTAAAACGATTTAGTAAATTAGTAGTATTATAAATTATTAGTATTAGTAGGAGAGTCTGTGGGAGTTAAAAATAGTAAAATTATTAAAATTATTCCCCTCCCCCCAAAAAACACAACAAATATATGTATTAAGACCAGAACATAGTCAAACTAAGATTATTTTTTTCCCCTCTAGCATTTAATATTCATTTTTGTCTGAAATAAAATAAAAATGACATCTCAGAGAATCCTGATGTGCAAAGCGGGGTCTCTGGGGGTGTCTTGGAGCTGCTGCTTCTCCTGCGAGTGGTGTCACCTTCTGCTGTTACTGTCAGTGTGATCCTTGAGAAAACTAAGATTATATTATAAATATATATATGTAATGTTGTGTATTGATGTTTTGAACGCTGACCGTCTCATGTTTTTAATTCTTCTGTAGATGGGCGGTTTCCTCTGTCATGACACGGCAGAACCAGATCCCAACAGAAGATGGTTCCAGAGTCACGCTGGCTCTCATACCTCTGTGGGACATGTGTAATCATACTAATGGACTGGTAAGCATTTCTTCAGGGCTGCTGAAAGGCTTTAGGGCTTAAATATTAAGCCTTTCAACTGCGTGGAACAGTTTAGTAACACTTTTAATTATACGTCTTAACACAGGTATTTCATCTTCCCAAGCGACCCTAAAAACTGATATCTGAGGGAAAGATTTGTCCGTTTCTTTAATGTCACAGAACCACAGAATCCCAGACCGTTAGGGATTGGAAGGGACCTCCAAAGCTCATCCAGTCCAATCCCCCTGCCGGAGCAGGAACACCCAGATGAGGTTACACAGGAAGGCGTCCAGGCGGGTTTTGAATGTCTGCAGAGAAGGAGACTCCACAACCTCTCTGGGCAGCCTGGTCCAGTGCTCTGTCACCCTCACTGAGAAGAAGTTTCTTCTCCAATTTAAGTGGAACCTCCTGTGTTCCAGTTTGTGCCCATTACCCCTTGTCCTATCATTGTTTGTCACCGAGAAGAGCCTGGCTCCATCCTCGTGACACTCACCCTTTAAATATTTCTAAACATGAATGAGGTCTCCCCTCAGTCTCCTCTTCTGCAAACTAAAGAGCCCCAGCTCCCTCAGCCGCTCCTCAGAAGGGAGATGCTCCACTCCCTTGATCATCTTTGTAGCCCTACGCTGGACTCTCTCCAGCAGTTCCCTGTCCTTCTTGAACTGAGGGGCCCAGAACTGGACACAATATGTCTTGTGATAGCTTTTCAGGGAGAACTTTCTTCATCTAGAGAAACCCTTAGAAGTGATTGCATACTTGCATACAGTTATATCTCATACATATAATGTAGTTTTCAGTTACAAGATACCTTTTTTCCAGTGAAGTCTGAATATTCTTCTGAAATGGAGTTTGTTTTTTGACCAACTGAAAAGGATTCACACCACTGGACAGATTCGCTCTGAGAATAGGAAATCAGGCAGTGATGGAGGCTGCTTCTTGTAGCTACCACTAGGGAAAGTGGGTAGAAATTTGCAACTAAGAAATACCGCCTGCTCTCCTAACCATGCCCAAAGAGCCTTGTTACGGAGACAGCACCAACAAGAACAAAGCCGAGTTCAACAAAAACAGTACATCTGTTACTACATCAAAGCGACAAAATGCAAAAATACTACTTTAGGGCATATTAAACATTTAAAAGGTGACATATGTATCTAGAAAGTCAGACCTGCTGACATTTTGGCTTACGTGAGCTAGCTGAGAGGATAGGGTCTTGATTTCATTAACACGCCAGTTAATGTTGAAGTGAGGAAATGGAAACCCAGAAGAGGATGGATTATCAATGTTATTTAGCCAGGCTTCAAAATTCATACCCTCCAATTGTGTTTCCAGCTGATAATATTACTTATTGTAAGCAGTGAATATGACCATACTATTCAAGTAGTCTGGTTCTTTTGTGGGAGTTGACCTGAGTGTTAGGGCAGCAGCATGTGTTAGTGGTGTTGGCATAGAAAAGCCTGGTTTAAATGAACAACTTGTAAAGCAAATTGGTTTTCACTTGATGTTTAGCTAATTTCTTGTTCCTATGACTGTACCAAATACAGCATGGTAGACTAGGCTGCGAAGCTGCCAGTGTTTGAGGTTTATTATTTTATTTATTTATTTTTTCCCTATTAAAAAATTATTGCATGTTGTTTTTAACAGCAATTCTTGCTTTTCACTATTATAACTTAGATTTAGCAATGAAGCTTGCATGAGAGTCTCCAGGATAAAGAAAATTGCTTAAAATTCAGAAATGTATATTTTTGTAATATAAGTCTTAGCTGCAAGTATCAGTACTTCCTGTAGCCTTTTCCTGCTGGGCATCTCTTTCAGATGCTGTTGCAGAGACTTGTCTGTATTCATTAGACAACTCTTAATGAATACCTTCAAAGTTGGGATTAGAGGAAAGAGGAAGAGAATTAAGGTTCTGGGAGGGGAAAAAAAAATAAGTAGCCTATATTAAAAGGGCAGCTAGTTATGTTTTAATCATTCAAAGTTGTATTTAAATTGATAAAGTGATTTTTATTTTTATTGCGCCCTTTAACAAGGGGTTTGATATGGAGCCAGGCTCTGGAGCCAAACCTGCTAGTGCAGTAGTGCATCATTTGAAGCATTTTTTAATGCTGAAGTCTATCCTAAAGGAGGGAGGTGTGTGCTGAACTGAAATCTTTTGTATCTATATACAGACTTCACTCATTTGTTTCGTATTTCTACAGATACTAGTTTAAATAGTTACAGATTTAGGAAGGATAGACAACTGTAATTGATAATAGACTAAGAAAAGCTCCTAAAGCTATTTTTGCTGTGTGGTAGTTTCCTTGTACTATTAGAAGTAGGGGAAAAAAATACCTGCTAAGATAACTGTAAGCTCTCTATGTTCTCGTTTATATTATTTTAGGGTGAGGTGAGGGTATGTTCTGCTGTAATCATAGCGCATCCCTTTAAAATACACGAAGGGACTTGTTCTTCACTGTAGGAAAGTAAGAAACAAAAGATGGCGTTGTCTGTTCCTAATAGAATACTGAAATACTTCTTGAGTGCATCAGCTCCTATAGATCCCTGTTCTTGCTTTATTCCACAGGGCCCCTTTCCACGAGCCAGATAATAAAATGCTCTTTGGGTTTTAACTGGAGCCAGGTCCATCCAGCTTTTTCTTGCTTCTGACACTATTAATTAGATCAACCTGCCTCTAAGAACTATATCAAAATGGTTGTCTTCATGCATTTCTCATTGTTATTCTTTAGTGGGATTGTATTTTGACAGTCAGAGGTTGATTACCAGTTCTGCCAGAGCTTTAAATAAGCTACATTTTGCCTGTTGGGCTGGGTCCATCCTTAATCACTGACCAAGCAACTATTGCGTGCTTTATACACGACTTGAAATTCATGTATCAGTCTGCTTCAGAAATAAAACTGAAGGGATGCAATTTGTCAGCTATCATGTGGGAAGAGAAGTAAACACCCTGTTAATTCTCTTATATGACTGCTATTAAAAGAAAGAGGAAATAAGAGTCTAGCACTCCATTAGGCGTTATAGAAAAACCTTTCAGAAGCACTGCTGTTTTATTTTTAAAAAAAAAGGCAAAAATAATGAAAAAAAGAATCCCAAAATTGAGCAGCATGCTTAAACTGACAGAATCCTTCTCTTAACATACTGATATGTCCCCAGTCCTTGAAAACCTCCATTTCCACAGGCATTTCAAGAGACTAAAATGGAGTTTTCACATTCAGGAGAATTTCATTGAGTTTGCACACTAAGAAAATTTCAGGACAGGTCAAGTGCTGTCAAAAATTCCCTTTTTTTGAATGGAAGTTGCTGTTTTTCAGGTGATGGGTCTAGTTGAACTTAAAAGGTACATTTGTCATAGTGAACGTACAGGAGTTTCTGTGCCTAAATACCACAGCCTGTGTTTTGCAGTAGGCTGTGTCGCATGGTTCCTGTCTTCTCTTCTGATCTCAGTGTACCAGAAAACCCATTAACAGACCGAAAATGGTGGCATTGTTGTGTGGAGCAGCTCTGTGAGCTTCCCCAGGGCCAGGCTGCCTGTGCCTGGGGCTGCCATTTTGGATTTGGGTTTGCTGTGTCGTATACGAGTTCCTCATGCTCTGTTTTGAGCATTTTCATGTTCATTTACAAAGGCTGAGGGAGAATCTTCAGCTCCTTGTAGCGATAGGATGAGGGGTGATGGTTTTAAACTAGAAAAGGGTAGGTTTAGGTTGGATATGAGGAAAAAGCTCTTCCCCATGAGGTGGTCGATCAGTGGCACAGGTTGCCCAGAGGTGGTGCAGGCCCCATCCCTGGAGATATTCAAGGCCAGGCTTGATGGGGTCTGAGCAACCTGATCTGGTACCAATGTCCCTGCTACTGCAGGGTTGGACTGGATCAGCTTTAAAGGTCCCTTCCAACCCAACACATTCTATGATTTGTGATTCTTCAAGGTTTCTCCACAGGCCCAGAGCATATTTTTCCATGTTAGCTCTGTCTGTACTGTATTCAGAATACCTACCATAAAAGTTTTTTCCTGATTTTTCAGCAGCTTCTCTTCTATCCTGTGGCTACATCTGGGCCTACATCTTTGGTAACGCTATTCAAGAACATGCAGTTTGTCACTTTTAAAGTATTACATTTTTAGGATATCTTTACTTGTTAGTATGACCACTTCACGGTTTCGTAGGGGTTTTTTTTGAGAAGTACAGGTTTTGTTAAGAGAACTTATCCTCTTCCATTGCCTGTCATAAAAAAAAATCCTTTTAGCATTTTAAGGATATTACTTAACTTTAGATAAAGGGATTATTTGCAAGTAAATTATAATTCTCTGAAGATTGTATCCCCTAAAGATCCACAGTTATCTAATCCGTTTTCATTGAGAGATCAAAAATATGCTGGCAGCTGAAGGATAAAGCACAGCGTATAGAGCTGGCAGGGCCTTGCTCCCTTGGGCCTCATGGGAGAGACTGAAAAATTCAGAAATTCATAATAATCTTGTGGCTTTAGCACGGGACTGTCTGTGGTCTGGAGAGGGAGCTTTCCTCAGAGCCCTCTGTTCACTTCAAGTAAGTTATTTATTCCCTTAATTTTCTTTATCACAGATTTTTTTTTTTTTAAAAAAGAGATGGCTTAGGAATCTTAGAGCTACTACTAACTGTATTACGTTGCACAGAGAAATAAATGTATGCAATTGCTATTGTTAATATCTGTTTCCAATAGGACAATGTTTTGTCAATGGTGGGGGAGATAAATGTAAAATGCCAAAGGTGCTTTTGTTTTTCTTTTCTTGGATAGATCACTACAGGCTACAATTTAGAAGATGACCGGTGTGAATGTGTAGCGCTTCAGGATTTCAAGGCTGGAGAACAGGTAGTGTGAACAGTTATCTACATAATTGTTCTTTAATTATGCTTTGTGGGCACTTGGTAACTCCCTACAAAATTTTAATAGCAGACTGGTGTGGATTAAGCCCTGCTACATTTGAATTTCATTATGCTGAGCTAATTTTGTGTGAAAATACTACCAAACCAAGTGCCATTTTTCAGAAGAAAATACTTTTTATCATTTTGTAGACCCTAACTTTAGTTGTTTTGATTCCCGATATTTCAGAGAACTAGCTGAAATATTTAATCACAGGTAGATGCACATGCACAGACACAGAGTTTGCTATTCTGGATGAGATTAAGAAGAGGCCATAGCCAAAGGACCAAACAGGAATATATTTTAGATTTGGGGTGCCCCTTCACCTGCAATAGCAGATTGGAGTCTTTCTTAAAAATGTTGGTTTGTGTTTCTTCTTTAGTCTTCGTGTAACAAGAGGCTAAATGCAGGATAGCTGCCAATTTTGCCCATTTTGCCATTCCTGTGCTTAGTGAAAATGAGAAAAGACCTAAAAATATTCTACAGGCATGCACGTGTGAACTACCCCTGCAGCCTGAAACGAAGTACCAAAGGCTGAGTCTTGCACAGATGCTTGAAACAGTTCAGAATCCAGTTTTTATATCAGTCTGAGTCTTTACCTTTACTGTAGTATTTTGCCAGTGTTACACTTAATAATATTTTGATTTTCATTTTTTTCTTATGTATTGTTACCATCTTTTTTTTAACAAAGATGTGTCTGAAAAATTGTTTTAAGTATGACTTTCCAGAGGTGTATTTATCCCCATTGCTACGCTGGGGTTTACAGCGATTGTATATTTTTTGTGTTGCTCTTAGAATTTGTTATGGTAGTCAAATATTTGCCGGTTTTTCCAATACCGGTGTGATGAGTTAAAAGCGGTCCACAGTTTTTTCCAGAAGTGATCCAATTTATAATTTTCCACAGCTGGCAATGGATGTGTCATATAGCTGTTCTGGCTGCTCTCTCCATTTCAATTACAGAGGCTTCCTCAATTTCGATTTTATTTTGGCAGTTTCGCTTTGTCTGCTATTTATCGGATTTTTTTTAAATTTCTGTGCAAACTTTTAACTGTTACAGACATCATTCAGGCACTTTAATTATATAATGCTTCAGTCTTTTAATACAGAGTGCAGATGTT